AGTGTGGATCTTTTCGAAAAGATGTTTCAAAATGTTTTGAGAGTTTGTTTTGAAAGTGTTGTGGATTGTGGTTTTTGAAAAGAAGGCAAGTGTTTTTGCAAGTTAGTCTCAAGTAACTAAGAGTTTTGTCTACCCTATTGTACTCAAAGGTTTTTGTTATGTCTTAACCATTTTTGACAATTTTGTTCCACCATTGAATTTGGTGGACAATCTTGCGTTTAGGAAGTTTATTCGGGACGGGCGTGGGTCATCGTATGGACCATGAATGCAATGATGCCAAGTGTCTTTGGCAATTTGCTTTGAAGGGACTATGATCATTTGAATTTGTTTTGCCAAAGATACTCGACGTGCAAGCATGACCCATTTTGGAAGGCAACATGTGGGATTACCCTAGAGGGTGCAAGTGTGATTGTGTATTGATTTCATGTATTTGTCTTATATTAGGTTATCTAGCGTTTGATTTTATATACATGCAAACCCTAGGTCTAACCATGGTATAATTGGAAAACTGTAAATTGCGGAAATGTAAAATCTACGCTATTACAAAATAGTATCCGGGAGTGGGGGTACAAGTGTATGAATGGGGATGAGACTTATAATATCCAATAAGTTACAACCAAATCGAATGTGCGATCAAATGTAAATATCGAATATACAAATATAAGATAAACAAATGTATAGGAGCAATATGAATGGATTTGCATTGTGTAAGTGTAAGTGTAAGTGTGTATATGTATTGTATGTAATTTATTTACAGGTTTGAGATATGAATTGAAATGCGTATTAGGGTATTTGACCTAGATAATAACTAAGCGTCCTTTTAACGATCTTGTATTTCTTTTAATATATACAAAAGAAAATGTTCAAGTTTTAATTAAGAAATGTATCTTTATTTATTTATATACAAAAATGTTTTAATTAAATTATGTATAAGATGTATCATTGTTTATTATATACAAAAATGTTTTAATTAAGAGAATTGAAAGTCATTTTCAATTTTAAGTATATGATATAAAAAAGGTATTTTTTTTTATGTGCAAATGTATTTTAATTGTCTATGTACAAAAGTATATTAATTAAAAGAATAAAAAGAAGTATTTTCAATTTTTAATTATATGATGTAGAAAAAATGTATTTTTGTGCTTAAATGAAAAATTAAAGATTAAATTAAAAGGAGGTAATTTTAAGTATTTTAGTATAATAATGTAATATTATGACAAATATATAGGGTATTTATATATAAAAAGAGATTAGTGTTAATGAAAATATAAAAAAAGGTTAAGTTAGTTTTAAAATGTTAAATGGGTTAGTAAATGGGTTAAAAAGGTTAAGTTAGTTTTAAAATGTTTTTAATGGGCTTATGGGGGGTGCAGAATGGGCAAGACCCATGTTAAACTTGGAACAAATTTTAGGGTTAGGGATTTGGTTCATTTGATAATCCGTTAGGGTTTTGGGACGACGCCGTTCACTGAGTTCCGTTCATCTTCGTCTTCCATTAGTTGCTGAATGCAATTCTATTCCAGAGGCCGAGCCACCCAGCGCCACCTCCGGTTCCGTTCATCTCCATGGTTGGACCAAACCCAGACGGAAAGGGTAACGATCTCGTCTTTTTCATGCATTAGGGTTTTTACTAAGTTTCTTGCTTTTTGCTTAGTTTGACTTCTGGTTTCACATGCTTATTACTGTTTGTTATTCGAGATTAAAGAAGAGGAACGAAAAGCTACCTTAACCTTTTGGGGACGGAGAAAAAGGAACCGGAACTGGGAGGCGTTGAGGCGGAGGCCCGGTGAAGGGAATGCGTGATGAGAGCTTTCTTGATGTCCCTGGTATCTTTTATCTGGTTGCTATTTTTTTGCCTATGGTTTTGATGATGATGTTCTGAAAAGCCCTATCTTGAAATAGATTCACTTCTTTATCTTTTCTCTTCTACTATATGTTGCCTTTGGGAATTCGTATGCTTTTGAATTGTTGCCTTGCCTATGATGAAGCTTGCTTCTGAGGCCCTTGAATTGCCTTCTGAGATTGATGCCCTTGGAATGTATTTTGCTTATGATGAAAAGCTTCTGAGTTCACCTCTTTCCTCTTCTCTACTGCTCACGTTGCCTTTGGATGAACTTTCTCTCTTCTTCTTGAACACTGTGTACTTGTTGCCACTGTACGCTTGTTTATGTTGCCCTGTGATGTTTATACTGAGGGCCTAGGTTGCCTTGAACATTTTCTTCTGAGTATGCCCTTGATGCTTTTGTTGAGTTGGATGCCCTGAATATTTATTGCCTATGATGAAGGGATTCTGAGGCTTAGGGGTTGGTTTTTGAATGCTTTGAGATTTGAACTGGACAGGTTATGTTTGTGCTAGCAGGTTGGTGTGTTGACAGGTGAATGGTTGTTAGTTTGTACTTGGCCTGGGATTTGTGTGCTTTTGTATTGGTTCTAGTATGTGGTATGTGTTTAGTAGTGCAGTAGGCTTGAAGTTTGAGTTTTGGTCATTGCAGATTTGCTTCAGTATGTTTTATGGCTTGAGTTTTGTATATACAGGTTGTGCTTGGTTTTTAGGTACAGGCTTAACAAGTTTGGTGTTTGCTTAGCTTGATGAGGCTTGGCCTGGTAATTTAGGCTTCAGCAGGTTGTTGGTTCTTGGAGGGGTTCGCTTCATATCTTAGCAGGTTTTTTGTGTTAGAGGTTATACTGATGCAGATTTGTCTGTATGCTTCAGGCCCTTTGAGTTTGTATATTTTTTCTTCTCCTCGAACTGTGTTGTACTGGTCTGGTTTTATCAGTTTGCAGGTTATCTCTTTTTTGTTGTGAGGCCTGTGGGTTTTGTATGTTGAGGCAGAGTATCTTTTCTTTTGAGTTTGTATATTTTCTGTCTTTTCTGCCTAAGCCTAAAACCTGCCTCTTATCTCTCTTCTTCTCACTCTATAGTACAGTTAATATATTATAATATGATTCTGCTGTACTTTTTTGTTCTGAAGGGGCCCTGGGAAATGATGATAAAGATCTTGCTTGCATAACATATTTTTCTCTGCATCTTTATCTTTCTTTGACAGCTTGCTACACTTTATCTTTTCTTTGATATCTTTTCCAAATCCTTTTTGACAGCTTTTGAGTGGATTTTGTACTTTGACAGTAAAATGCACTTTTGGCTTTTGATAGAAAGTTGGAATTGGATTTTAGTTTAGTTTGAACTTGAACTATGCAGTTTGAACTTTGGAATTTATGCATTTGACATTTTGCATTTATGAATAAAATGAAATTCTTTCCTCTTTGTGAACCGGGAGAAATCCCGTGATTTGCAGAGAGGGTTAACTGATCCCAATCAGTGGCCCCTAATGATGAGCAAATTTTATCTGTCTTTTTTAATTTAACTGCTTTCTGACTTTTCTTCCTTTTTTCTTTTGCAGGTGAATAATGGAGCACCGAAACGGAGTGAAGAATGAAGAAATTAGAAAATGAATAGAATAGTTTTTTTTTTACTTTCAATTTAATTTTTGTACACTATTATTATATTAAATACTTCGTAAATAAATACTTGTATCAAATAATAATTGTAACAAACATTAAATATGAAATAAAAATCCTATTGATTCAATTAAATCTTTTCAATTCCTTTTCTTTAATTGTTTACTTGTTATTTATAATTCCTTAAATTAAATAAAATGAAAGTTTAAATTTCAAATATTTAATTCTTAGAACCATAAATAATCAACTAAACCTTGTTGATCAAAATAAATGAATTCGACGTATCCATCATTCAAAGCAACGCACAGTCGAACACAAAAACTGATCAGACGCAATCCTCTTTTTCACTGATTCTTTGCCAAGCACTGTAATTCCAAACTGCACACATCCTTTGACTTGGTGAATTCAAACCAACTGCCCCCTCTCGCTGATTAAATCAAAACAATGCGAATTTAACCCGAATCTCGGAATAAACGGAAAAGTGCTGTGGAATTTTAACCTTTTTGAGAATATGCCCATAAAACCCTTAATTCCTGATTAAATGCCAAATAACATTCGCCTGATCAAAATTGAACCAAAATCAACCAAAAACCTAAGCCAACTGCTTGAACTGTTCTAGGGCTATAAAAACCAGTAAAACCCTAATTTTGCTTGACTGTTAAGAAAAGTCCGTTTGTCCGATTCTTGAGCCAGTTTTGAAAAATCAGGGAAGGCTTGAAGCTGAGATTTCTTGGGGAAAAATGCGAGGGCAAATTTTGGGGTACAACAGTGAATGATAACGAGGAAAACTTTTCACAACCAGGATACAACTCTTGATTTGCATCATCAACTAGTTTATAAAATTTCTTTGCATCTTCATTTATCCCTTCATGTACTCCACCTCCTTCAGCCACATCTTTAAATGTCTCAAATAGTAAGCCATCGATATCATCATGGGATGATGTTTCATCATCACTATCACCATCAAGATCTATAAGACTCTCATCTTCACCATGATAAATCCATTCAGTGTATCCCTTTACAAATCCTTTACTACATAAATGGTCATACACTACATCTCTTACTTCCCAACTATCATTGCAACATACAGAACAAGGACACAAAATCTCTTCTTCTTCAACCATTCCTTTGGTGAATGCAATATCCAAAAAGTAATTTACACCGTCCTTATAACTTTGACTGTGTGGAGGTAACTCCACCCAATCCTTCTTTATCATGTTTGGTTTTCTAAAATGAAATAAATTATACATTACTCTTTATCATATAAAGGACGGAAAAACACCATGGTTCATATATCAACGTAGCTTTTACAAATGCATAGTTATTATAAAAATTTCATTTATAATCTAAATATACACTAAACATGCATTCCAATACCAAACATAGAATAAATTGGTGAACTTTTAATCTAAACATGCACAAACATTTCATAGTCTAATATAATATGTATTTGTTGTTTCTTTTCAAACTATATAATATGTATTTGTTACCTGAATTCTTTCAACTTGATTCCAGCAGTAATAGAAACTAAAATCTTGTCCTTAGTTACAAGCGACTTCGATTTCAACACAACTTCCTTCACTGCAACAACAACAACAAAGGGAGTGTGAATTTATGATAAGGGTGTGTGTATCAGTCATTACCTGCTTGTGCGATGCAGACTTGGGGCCAGCCTCATTGGCAATTGCCTTTACAATTCAGCATACAAGTTGGAAAAAGCAGCAAAGAATCAAACATGGCACTGTTGTTGGAGAGTAACAACAATGTTTAATCATCTGAATCTTGTTTCTTCAAATAAGAATATTTACTGTTCTGATTTTTATCTTTATAGCTTTTAACAAAATATCTCATATTCATTTACTTCTATAATTCTCTAATGACTGCTTGTCATCAAAAAAAAAATTCAAAGATTTCTTCTCTAATAATTAAACTTTTCATCTCTCAAGGTGAATGAATAGTATTAATAAAAGGTCTACTTCTACTAACAAGAAAGAAAATAATACCTCATAATTTAAAATAAATTCCCTTAAAATTGGATACAGATATAAAATAAGGTTTTTTTTTATAACCAAAATATATCAAAGGGAGTGCAAGGGATTTTTGTTCTATATAAACTGTAGATACATTTTGTTAAATAAAAAACAAAAACTGCGGATAGTAAGTAATAAGTGGAAGCTTAATGTAGTACATTGTTATTCTTTTACAATTTGATCAGTGACAACCAATGAACATGCACTTTATTTGTCCCTATAGTTATTTAAATGTCTATTTTTGGTTCCACACATCACTCCTTGAACCTATAGATGATTTATAACATTACATTTCATGTAATCAGACAGACAAAAAAGAATGACTTAAACTATTCATCAAAGTAGGATTTAATTAGCACTATTCATCAGGCCTGGGAATCAACTAGAATCTTGCTAAACTATTCATCAAAGTAGGATTTAATTAGCACTAGCAAACAATAAACCATCATGCAATGAAGACAAATCAAATGATGTACCAACATGATCAGAAATAGACACTGACTTCTTACTTTTTGACAAAACTCCACTACAAATATTTGCAATACTAACTCAGCATTAACTACACCTAGAAAGTGCAACACCAATTTACAACATGCGCTCTAAAGAACCTCAAATGCTGCCGAAATCTAATCAGGATCTACAAAGTTTTCTCTACCTAATACCAAGAAACAGCAGCATCGATGACACCTCCAGGTATCAACCTTGAAATCTGATCGCAATAGCAAGCAAGACAATGAATAATCCCTACGTATCTATGCACTTCTGTAGCAGAACAAAAAATACAGCACGAAACAATACTCAGAACGAATGGTTTAGACTACCAACAGGTACATCACAACTGCATTCTGCTTCATAACTTGTTCTCATTATCACTGCTGATTATATCCTCGATTTTATCGTGTTAACCACCATGCAAACCAAGGCATGCCCCAGAGTTCGAACACCAGAGATGATATATAGCATGTGCCTTTACTTTTGATACTGAACCACTTACAGGATGATATCTTCACTTCTTCAAACATATTGTCCAAGCATAATTCGATATTATGAAGTATCTTTTCATTTTTTATGTCGAACATAATTTATTTAAATACATATGCTTAATGCAAATTTTAGCATCTCTTTCATATAATATGATAAGTATATTTCATTTTTGTGTAGTGAGTTCCAGTGTCTATCATGGACTGACATTGCCAGAGGCCATCACTAGCTGCCCACTAGTCAGCCCTTGGGAAGGACACACCTATAATTGTCTGAGTTCAATAAAATAAATCTGTACAATAATTGTAAAAGCTAAAAACCAAAGATTTACAGCCAAGTTTAGATCCATTGCTCAAAAGAAAATACTTACAACTACCAAATCTACATCCATTAAATTGTTCTATCACAATATAAATATAATAAAGAATAACAAAATGTAACTAATACGTTACAGTATGAATAAAATTGCATTGGTCATAGCATGCCACTAAGTGGTTACATTTCAATTGTATCTCTATTTGTTATGTGTATCATGTTGAACAGAGAAAGAATTTGAGTATGATATTGAGAAAACTATTGGTGTTTTTGAATCTTATACATATGGCATCAAAACATACGAAATGGAGATCGAAATATAAATGCAGAAATACATACAAACACAGCGGACGACTTGGACGACATGGACGGCGGACGACGTGGACGGCAGACGACGTGGACGAAAGCAGTTGGATGGCGAATGACGAACGGACGACGACGTGGACGACGAACACGGCGTGGCAGTTGGACGGAGTGATGAAGAACACGGCGGAGGGTGTGAACGAAAGAGGTTTGACTCGGAGCGGATGAAGGACGGAGCGTCTGAGAGCGCGGCTAGGTTCGGCGAAATGTGTGAACGAAAAAGAAGTTGGAGAGCGCTGCTGCTTTTGTTTTCCTTATCTGTTTCTTTTTCTTTCTTTTTATTTTCTATTCTTTTTAATATTCCTTATCTGTTTCTTTTTCTTTTTTTTTATTTTCTATTCTTTTTTGTTTTCCTTATCTGTTTCTTTTTTTTTTCTATTCTTTTTAATATTCCTTATCTGTTTCTTTTTTTTTTCTATTCTTTTTAATAAGACGTGGCAATAATTGAGAGGACTAGTAATGAAAAATATTTTAAATTTCTGTGTTAGAAAATTTTTTATTTTCTGTTTAATGAATTTTTTTTTAATATATATATATAAGTTTTAGAGAAATATTAATAATGTGTTAGAAAAATTCATGTTTAATTGAAATATATATAAGTTTTAGACTAATATATATATATATATATATATAATTTTTTATTTTCTGTTTAATTGAAATTTTTTATTTTTAAATTCCTGTATTAGAAAAATATTTTTTTTTATATATATTAATAATGTTTAGAGAAAAATATTTGTTTTTTAGTGTATAAGTTTTGGAGGGAAGATTGCCACCAAAAAATTGATAATTCTAAAAAAATTTATACAACATTTCAGAAATGTAGCCTTTTATTAGAATTAATGTAACAATCTAAAAATGTCCCCAAAAATATTTTAGGGGACAATTGTCAAATATTGCTAAAGAAATAATATTTTAACGCTCTAAAATCGTCCCCAAAAGCAGTTAAGGGCATAATTAACAATCGTTGGCAAAAAAATAATAGAGTATCGCTCCATAAACGTCCCCAAAAGTATTTTAGGCGACGATTATCAAGGGTTGCAAACATATTTTTGACAACAATCGTAAATCGTTGCCTATATGAATTTAAGGCAACAATTTCTACATGTTACCTAAAAAAGTGTTGCCAGAGACAACAAATGTTGTAGTGAACTATGATACTAAATAAATAAATAAAGAGTAAAAATGCATTTTAGGTAGTGTGGTGAATCAGTTAATCAAGTTGAAATCGGACATAAAACAAGCATTTTTTTCTATTTTTGTTTGTGTATTTTTTTCATTGTGTTAATTTAGGTAGTGTGGTGAATTGGTTAATCAAGTTGAAATCGGACCAATTCTTAAAATTCTCAAATTTTCACTTTTCAACTTGTTTATTCAATTTCACTTGGTTGTTTAGTTGTGTTAATTATTTTGTTGTTGTTTGGACTCCAATTTTGGGTTCAATAGCTTGAGGTTGCATTAGGTGATTATCCGAATTTGATTGATTGTTTCAACTTACGGTGGTATGGTAATGATAGTTTTTGAAGTTGGTACACGCCAGGTACTCGTTTATCGCTTTCTAAAGCATAACATGTTTAGGAAACTCTTCATTTGTATAATTACCATGCCATTAATATTTTTTGTATTACTTGCTCATGACTTGAATCACTTATGTTCCACTTTTACCCCAAATGTGTGGAAGCTTTCCATTGTTCATATATGCCGGAGGCTGCAATTCTTGTTTTAGCTAGTTTTCATTATGTTTAATCTTTTGTTTGTGTTGATTGTATGAAAGCATGAAAATGATCAAGGCATTTTATTTGATTTTGAGCACAACTACCTATCCAAATAGTCAACTCACCTTGTGAGTGTGTGAACATTTGTTAACCTCTTTTAAGCCCTTTTTGTCATTGTTCATGTTATTTTTGAACTTAATACTTATCTATGAGTTCTTATTTTTCCTTTTTGAATGAATGTTGATTCTTTGTTTTCTTTAGCCCTCAACTATGATTCTTAGTTTAATTTTTACCTTGCCTTAGAAATTAGAGAGTATTTACTTTAATGTTGGTTGAATTCAAGTTGGGGGAAGAATTGTTTGCTTGCTGTTGTGTGTATTACTATGAGATTGTGAAAAAGAAAAGAAAAAGAAAGAAAAAAAATAGTGAAAAGGAAAGATTAGAAGGAAAAAAGAACAAAAAAATTTTGAAAAATGTTTGAAAAAAGAAAAACAAAAATAGTATGGAATAATGTTGTGTTAATAAGTATGTGATTGGTGTGAAAATTTGGGATGAAGAAAAAGTTTGATTGGAATTTTCTGTTTGAAACTTTGAGAGCTGATCACTCCCTTAAGTTTAGGCAAGTTTTTGTTTCGATTAGCTTTAGGACTTATCCTTTGTTTGTTAACCAAGCCACATTACAATCTTGAAAAGCCCTTGTGATTCTCGCCTTTATATTTTCAATGTGAATTTTTTGATAAATGTGTAATTTAATCTTTTGTTTGCAAGATTGTTGGATGAGTGTTTATGTATTTCACTTTTGTGTGTTTTTCATCCACCGATAAATTTTTACTAGGTGTAATTCATGACTAAAATTGTTTTAATTTAGAATGTTTAGTATGATTATTTGTACTTATGATTCGTTTCGTTTACATGTTGTCGTTTTAGTATAGTGCTAAGTTTTGTCTTGCGTGTGCATTTTTGTTTGAACCATACATTTGTTTTCCATTTGTCAAACTTGTTGATTCATGATTCTTTGGTTGATCATTTTTTCTTCTTTGAGTTTATTTGACTGTTGTGATACGGTGGCAGAACCGACTGTTAATACTAGTTTGCGTTTTTTGTTTGCAAAATGTCGCGGTAAGCAAGAGTCGCCACCGACTTTTATTTTATCCAATCAGGAAAAGGAAAAAGAACAGAAAAAACCTTTTTTGAGATGTTTCTGAGTACGGGGGGTAGATTATAAAAAGGGAATGTGTTAGCACCCATTCTATCTATGGTTTTCCATGGGCTCTTAGGTACTTGCTCATTTTGAAATTGCTTGTGTGTGCTTGTTTTGAAAAGTTTTGTTTTACTTTATTTTAACCCTTGTTTCTGTCCTCAAGAGTGTTACGAAGTTGTTTTTGAAAACTTTGTTTGAAAAAGTGTTTGGTGTGAAAAAGTTTGTTTGTTTGAGCAATTACTTAAGAACTAATCTACCTACTCGAAAAAGACTATTCGTTATCCTTTAGACAACACTATCCTATTATTAAGGAATAGGTAGCACCATCGTTGGAATTTTAAAGGGACGTTCGAAGGGACGAAATGATCACGGAAGGCAACATGTAAGGATACCTTAGCATTTCAAATGGACCGTCATCATATATTCGTAGGCAATATTGAGGGACAAGATCATTTCTCGTAGGAAACTCGAGGGACATTAAGGGACTATGATCATAAGGTGGGTTAGAATTTTTCTAAACAAAATAATGAAAAACTTTAATAAGAATGAATTTTTCCAAACTTTAAATATTCATATTTTTTAGTTTGTCAATTTAATAAATAAAAATTAATAATTAAAAATAATATTGGATAATAACTAGTCCAATTTTACATATAAATATTATTATTTATTATGAATATTTTTTTTTGAATTTTCTTTTACAATTATGAAACAACATAATTGTAATAATACTATATAAGAATAGTATATCAATTCTTTTTTATTTTTGGACAAAGAAAATCCAAATTTTAAAATGAGTCTTTTAAATAGAAGACATAGAAAACCTATTACATACTGAGACTGTTCAAATAATATATTTGATATATACATTCTAAGAGTTGGGCGGCAGAAGTTGTGAGATTATAGGAAATTGAAGAGAAATAAATATTTAAGGGTTGATTTATAAATGAAAGTAGTCAGTTTAGTAGTAAGGGTGTTGGTATTTAAAGAGGAAGAGCAAAGATTTAAGTCTCCTGTGAAACAATTATTTAAGAATTTTATGTTTTTGAATTTTAATATTTGACACTAAAATGATACTGACTTTATTATTTAAAATAAAAAAATAATTATATTAATATTAAAATATATGATATTGACACATAAGTAAAAATTATGTCACATCATACAAAAAATACACGAGAATCAAAATTATAATTAAGTCTTATTTTTTTATTCGTTCTTCGTACAATGCAATATGATCATGACTCATGTAAATATAAATTTATTTAATTAATTATTTATTATATCATATGTTT